GCTCTTCCGCACTTTCTTCGTAATCGATCGCGAAAAGAGACAAAGTAGCTTGCTGAGATCCGTCTACGAAATTAATTAGAGCGCTGGATCGCGTCTAGTTTTTTCCTCTTTGTATTTCTATTTTTCTATTTTATTGTCATCATAATTGAAACAAATGAAAATATACAGCGAGCGGATTAAATTAAACGTAACAAGTGTCAGAGTAATTCTGGTGGAACGGTTGAACGTTGGTAGAGAAATTAGCGAGGTTTTCTTAATTAGAGTGTGCTAATTTTTAAGAAAGAGATCCGCCGAGTACAATTTTGCACGCAAGCATACTACAAGAAAAGTCAATTTTAATTGGAGTCGAACACAAAAAAATTACCACGCATAAATAATAATAATAATAATAATAATAAAATAAAATAAAATATCTTTGTGTTTGCGGTATGGATCTGGGGACGCTCTAGAAGCCGCTATTGGGGCCTTTCCTTCTTGCGGAGAACCGAGGCCACTTGTCCGTTCCCTCTTTCCTTTTCCCCTTATTCCCCTTTTCTATCCCTTCCTAATTCATTTTCCATTAAAGCAGAGTGAGAGAACCGTGTCTTGATTTCTCCGAAACGTTGTGTCTTCGCGATCGTTGTTCTTTGACAGCACAGCTGTTAGTCGTGAGTGCACATCGGTACACGTGGTCGCTTTTTGCGGACCGAATAATTAAATTATTAAATCGCGATGTAAATCCGATGTAGATTGATTCCGTTTGAAAAGAATCGTGCGAATTTCTTCAATTTGTTGTTTCTAAATTTTAATGTGTGATTCGATGATATGCGGTAAAATGTGAGTGTCTAATTATGATAAATTAATCGTGTCGAATTTTCTAGTCCACAGATTTCTCCGACGAGATTTCTCTGTAATTCTTAATCCTTGATTGTCAGTGATTACTTTTTTTTTCGTAAGCCTTCAATATGTTTTGAATTATTCTTCAGGATAGAATCTCTCGAAGTGCAAATTTGGAATAAACTGCCATGTGATATTAAAAAGAATCATGGGAAGCAGCATTGCTGTCTTTAATCTATAATTTTTTTTATTTATCGGTTATTATCTGTTTATTCTGGATTTTTTTCTTGGATCAAAAGTTTCGAGCAAAATTTTAGCAAAAAGCCCTCGGACCTTCTTAAAGGAGACCACGAAGATTAACACGATAATACACAGTTCCTTCGATCAATCGATATTATCTTTATTCTAAAACTTTCAACGAACTTTCTATCTCATATTCTACGCGATCAAGATTTTAGAGCAGAATTTCGGACAAGCTTTCACGTCAAAAGGAATCTTTCGAAAAAGAACCATGAGAAGCAACAATGGCGGACCCTAAGAAATCCGTAGATACGAGAAGTAAACAAGCGCGCGGGAAGCTTTGTCAGGAACACGGCGAGGAGGACTGTCCGAGCGAGAACGAGCGCGAATTCGAATCGTTGGAGTACGAAGAGGATGTATATTATTCGAAGCTGACGACGACACCGAGCTTCGACGATATCGACGAGCTCGATGACGAGGAGGTGGACGAGCTGGTGGTTCATTGCTGGCGCGACTCCAACGGCGAAATCGACGAGATTGTCGTCGACGATGGCAACCTGTCCGTAGAAACAGAGTTCCTGCCGGAAGAAGGATCACGACCCGGCCGCAAGAAGAAACGATCGATTCGCGTGATCTTCCAGGATCTCTCCAAACCCTACCTCGCCAGGATCAGTAACAGTCAAAACTACAAGAGGTTCCTCGAGCTGGTAAAAGGTGCCATGAGAAGAGAGGGGAGATCGCTTCGCCGATTTTTAAATTTATGAAATATTTAATTTTTAGCATAATAATCTTCTAATCTTGTGGGAGAAATTTCGCGGTTTTTATGCTCAGCAGATTCTCGACATCGATTTATTTTTTCTTTTACGTGTGAAAGTGTACGAAAAAAAAGAGCTCATTAAAATCGCGATCGAGTACAGCGAAGTAGAAGTATGATTTGAATTATTTTAGGACGATGTTTCGCTCTGCTGAAACTGCGAAACTTTGTGCATTCCTTCGCAATCTGGCGAAATATAATCGCATTTGTTCGGAATTTAAGCAATCGCTTCCTGATCAAGAAATTGCAGTCGATCAATTCCTATTTTTATATTCGCATTTTTTTATGCATATATTTATTATAAATACGGCAATTAAATAAATTTTATCCATTTTATGCGGACTATAAAAATCGCCTAGAATATTAAACATTAAATTAAAGTTAATTTAATACATTTATTTATTCAATCTAGAAAGAGAAAAAGATATATTTCCGGCAGTCAGTTAGCATGACTGCCGTAGTGTCGTATAACATGTGGCTATTGTTCTCTATTCTTGTTTCCTTTTGTTCCAGGAGAAGACGCTTCGCTTCACTCGGCCGAGTCTCTGTCGCCCTCATCGGATAACGTAGCAAACGAACTTCAAGGGAGGCTCTCTTTGGAGGAGCAAGAACAACAAAGGGCCGAATGGAGCGCTGAATTAGCAAAAGTAAATCTCGGGGAATCAAGAAATCTCGAAGACGAGGAATAACAATGTTCGCTTTCAGGTCGAGGAAGAGATACAGACTCTGAGACACGTTCTCGCCAACAAGATCAAGGTTTCGCAGGATCTGAAGAGGAAACTGGGTATCAGCGTTTGGAAAGAGCTCACCGATGATGTCAATCAGGGACTCAAGAACGTCAAGGAGACCCAAGTGTACGTGTGCTATTAGTTACTGGCTTCTTTCGCATCTTTTTTATCTGTACACTCTATGTATACACTCTGTACACTCATCTGCGCACTCTATCATATTTTTTATAAGGGGAAGTGGATGGAAAACCGTGACAGGATTGTGAAAATGCAAGATACTTGCGAAATACTTTCATATTCGTTGCACGAAATATTTCATGAACGATTCTCGAAAAATGCACGAAGCAGCATGTTTTCCGATTTTCTTTTTCTTTCTTGGTTTTTATCTTTATATTCATCATTTTTCTATTTCTTGTCTCTTCGTTTTTATTTTTGCGAACCGACAGGTGGTGATCATCTCTTTTACGTTGATACTCCACTTCTTCTGTTCTTCAGACACACATAGAAGCATTGATTCTTGTTTTACCTTCGGTTGGGTTTTTCATTCAGTTATCAGAATGTTGGCGAGACACTAGGTCGCTTAACCAGGACGGTCTCCGGGAATAATTTGTAAGTACACACTAACCCATTTCATTTTCGCTTGGTTGTGATCCAAATCTTATTGTCCTATCGGTAGCCTACATGTTAGATATCTGTACATAGGGTGCTTTTAAAATTCATCCTTAAAGTGAGTAAAACACATTTTCAAAGTTTGGCTGTTTTGAAGACTTCTTGTGTTTGTTGTCGATATTTTAATGTTGATAATTTAAAATATCGACGAGTATCGCCAACGTAATACAGAATATTGCTATGGAAGCACATTTGCTTGAAACAACAACCAAATTTAACAAAAAGCAAACACACTAACTTTATCCGATATTCAAAAGCTTTATGTATGACGTCGATTGAAATTTAATTAACATAGTCATTGTTTTCGCAGAGGATAATCTATAATTAACGATCTATTGTTCTTACTGGTTTGCTGACTATTCTGTGTGGTTTGCTGACTAATCTTATCTTTTTTGTCGTATCAGATACCAAAAAACAGAATCTGTACTCAAGTCCACGGCTGAAAAGACAACGAGTATACTGGGTGGATTTGGTAGCGGCATTTCCATGAAACTGGGCCAGATGCGCAATTCCGATAGCTTCCGGTCCTTGGAGGAAAGGGTTGGATCCGCTTGCGAAAATATTAAGGTATTAAAATTAAACTTATTAAATTAATTTTTTGGATCAAATAGAGTTCATAATTAAATTATTACATACTATACACACAACATACACGCAATGTTCTGTGACATTTCTAATCTTTCTTATTAAAGCCTTATAAAATTAATTTTTCCACGCATTATTAAATAAACATACACAATATAAATTTAATTAATTAATTAATTCAAAATGTATTATATACACATTAGATTTATATCTTTTTGATTGTTTTATATTATTATACACATTAGATTTACATTCTTTTATCAATTTACGAAAACTTAATTTTAACAAGTTTTTATTCAGAGATTTGAATTCTTTTCTTATTTTTGCAGACGAAAGTTGTGCCTTCGAGATCCAATTCGACACAGAGTTTCGACGAGGCTCTCCGGGAGTCCGAAGCAATGAGGCGCGCATCCGCGGCTCCGTCGGTCACCAGTCCGACCATTCCCGAGGACAAACTGCTCTCTTAGAATCCAAAATTACGCAAAATCCGTGCGTCTCCACCGCGCGATATAAAGTGCTTATAACGCGCTAATCACTATTGCATTCATCTACTGCAATCGCTATAAAGGGCCAAACGACGATGTATCCGTGCACGTTGAATGAATCGATCGATATTTCACTGAATCGAGACTTCGGATACAATCGTCCAAGTACTATTCTCTACTCTATCTAATAAAAAATATATATTTTTCTTGCACGCCCTTTCCACGCCTTTCCCTTCGCAGGATCGCCTTTCTCTAGGTCACGTTCAGGACATCCTTAGACATAGCGGAAAATGTCTCTCGCGGTTTTTATACTTACACTAAAAAATCGATATTTAAGATAACCTATTTTTTAAACAATAAAATGACTATTGAATTTCTTTTGATAATTAATTTTTATTTAGAAATACAATAAAACATAATTGATGTTCGGATTAAAGCTGATTATTGATATATGCATCGCGAAAAATATAATTTTAAACATTAAAGTTAATAATAAAACTGCAAATTTGCACTTATTTGTAATTTTTGGCATTCGAAATTTATCGCATATTATCGGTGTCCTGAATTGATCTGAACAGAGCTGCCAAAAGAAAATATTTTCAACGATTTACGGTAAATAACCCGTCCGTCGACAATACTTTACACCATATACTAAACTTCTTACTTATGTACGCAAACTTGATTAGGAGCCATTCAGAACACATATAATCTGTCATGAGACAAATCTAATCGGAGTCTCGAGGAACATTATGTGAATTATGTTGAATGAATTATTTTGAATGAAATATATTTATCTATCGATGAAAAATTATATAAATTTCAAGCAAATAAAAAGTTTCTTATATAGATCAAATAGAATCTAATAACACGGTAAAAAATAATTTGCTACACACACTACGAATAATTTACTGAATGCTTTTGTAAAATAGAAAAATTATAAATTGTGCAAGATGAAAAAACATCAGAACATGGAACGGATCTCATCTGAAGATACAAAATTTTCTTGTTTCTTTTCTTGTTTAAATGAGATAATATATTAAATAATAAAAAAAAAAATAAGTTCCTCGCGATTCTCGGTTTTAAATGAATATGTTTTAGATGCGCGGATAATCTTATTGAATTAGCACGAAATTTGAGAGATATTTTGTATTTTAACTTAATAAAAGAACACTATCGACGACGCACGGTGCGACGTGTGTGTATCTATTAATGTTGAAAGAGGCGCAAATTTTTGCAAAATAAATATATATACATGCAATATATATAATGAGTAATTATCATTAAGAATGATTGCCGTGATTCGTCGATATCTGCTGCATAATCTTCTTGTTTATAAATAAATTATTTTACGGAACGCCAAAAGAGAGTCATACAAATCTCTTGCAAACTAAGAAAGATATATCACAATTCTCTTTTTCCTCTCTTTGATATTCCTTATATTATATAATATTTATATTTTAACAATTAAAAAGAATTAAATATACATTATTATATATCTCAAATTCTTTTGCTCATTGAAGAATGAGAAAGATTACGCAGTTTTTGCTCAAATATCTAGAATCGAGAAATTGAAAATTAATGAATTATTTTGGAATTTTAGTTCTGCATGATTCGATAATATCCAATATTATTTCTAACATTGAAAATTATATATTGGATATGAAAATTATTTCGACCATTTATATCTGATATTCATGTATTACGTAAAATTTCCATACGTCCAATAATTACCACTAATGCGATATTACCGACGACCGAGTCTACGTTTGAGTTTGTAGTTGAATTTAACCCACCAGGTGGCACCAGACAGTTTGTCCGTTGGCGCCAAACGTATACTTCCGCTTCGAAACCGCAGTCGTTGCGTTTCTTTTGTACATTTATAGCAGTAAATATGCATCTAAGAGTGAATATAAGTAGTTATCGGGAACTTAAAAGTAGTCTCGGTTGATATTATATCGATAGTGCGTGAGTGTGAAACGAAATCCGTATCTCCGATCTCTGGTTCCAGCGAAAATCGCCCTCGAAAAAGAAAGCGGCACAAAAGTCCCGGAGCAAGGAATCCCGCGGAAATCCTGTTGATCCTTCGGTTGCTATGGTGTGGTGAGCACATTTATTCACTATTATATCCTAATTAGCTTGCACGAGCGTGATCGAATCCTTCTTTTTATCAGTTTCCAGCGCAGATGTTACCAGCGGAGATCATCCTCGAAGAAGGAAGCGGTGTAAAAGGAATCAGCACAAGGAATCCAGGAAATCCTGTCGACGTAGCCAGGCACAGTTGGGTGAGTACGTTTACTTATGCTATCATATTTTATTATTGATGATATCGTTCATTATTCGATGGATGTAGCAATAAAATTACAACCTTCAACTTAAAAATTATATAATGTTATTTACTGTCTATTGAATTATATCACTGAAAAAGTACAAGGTGTCCCAAAAGTATGAGTGACGAAATCTAAAAAAAGGGACAGTTCTTTTTTTAATAGATAAAATTTTTTGTATTTTATATTTAGTAATCCCTTATTTATATGTGCATAATTTACTTAATTCATTGTTTAGTTATACCTGTTCACGAATATTTTGAATTAAAAAATATAAGATGTGTGGAAAATATATACAATAATCGCGAACGACAGATTTTTCAATTAAAAAGTTTTTATATTTTAATTATATATATGGTAATTATTTTTTAAAAATCTCAAATGATTATCTCTTTTTTATAATAAAAATTCAGTAATAAAGCGTAAAGGATACCGGTACTCTAAAAATATTCAGTGATCGATATTCCTCAATAGATAGAATTTCATGTCTTGATAATAGATCAGTTGAAAAACCAAACAATTACGGATGTAACTGATAAAATATTAGGCATTTCAAGCATCTCTCTTCTTTTATAAAAAAGCATATAAACCTTTATTAAAACTAAGTACAAAAATAATAGGTACATTTCTTCGTCGTTTCGTCTAAATCTCTAAATTGCTATGCCGGCTGGTCCGCCATTCAAAATTATTTCCATCATTATATACTCGTGAGCAACAGCGAAGAGTATCCTAAAGCCGAAAGATCATATAGGATATTTTCCTTTTTCATATATAAGCTTGTTCTGATTTTTTTTGCCATTTCTCTCAAACATTAAGTGATAAACTATCATAAAGAACATGATATCTGAAAGTCGAGTCAATATTAATTAATTAATTTATGATCAATAAGTTTAATGAATTCGAGAAAACGAGCGATTCCTGCTTCGTCTATGATTCAACGCGATTGTACGCAGCATCTCATAATTACGAACGTCATCTTACATTCGTGAAATCTTCGGCAAGTTCGGAGCTAATTTTCGAACGAAGATTTCATTAAACTTTATCGCATTATTTATCTAACATATAAATCTATATAATTAAATAATCTCGTTGATGATAAGTTAGTCGAAAATTTCATATATTACACGCATATTGCACTCAGCAATTTATTTTCCATAAGAATTGTATCTCGTATATCGTAGATCGTTCGACGATCTTCGCGATTGCTGAAATTGGGAGAGAAACTTGAACAATCATTTTATTATTAGAGCATAAAACGCACAACTTGAAAGGGGGAAGGGAACCTTACAAAGTTTTTAAACACAAATCTATTAAAAAAAAAATAGGGAAGGAGAGAGCAATACACAACATGTCGACATCGACATAACGTTGTTAACGTATAGGTACGTTGCTAATACATATACATGTACATATATATATAATATATAAAATCATATATATTTGCGTATATCTGTACGTATATAGAAACATGTATATTATATTTATATTTATATATATATTACGACTTCGTTAACAACATAAAATGTAATTATTCACATAACACAATATCCGTGATATAATAAAATATCATTATAACGATCTGCTTTTTGTACTGGGTAGGCCGACGCGCATTTTATATACAGGGTGTCCGCGCAATACGGAAAAATATCTCAATTATAAGTTCTTCGAATCTCGGGTCGATTTTTCTCGGCAAACATTTTAACATATATATATTTTATAACATTTTAAATATGTAATTTATATAATTATATACTTATATGTACAATTTTAGCATAATATCAATATTTAATAATACATTTTATATTAGTCTTTATTTTAATTCATTGAAAAAACAATTTAGTTAAATATTAGGACTTGAAACTGAAAGATCGATTTTATTTTCAAAGAATTTATCTGTGAAATATTTTTCATTAGTATATATTTGATCACCCCGTATAATACATAATATATCTCGTCAACTTTTCTCCGAGAATACAAAGGTTTGCATTCCTTACACGCATCTAGAACTAAACGGAACTGTTCGATTTTAACTTTGATTTACGATCGGGATAAAGATCGAACAGCCACATCTAGCTATAAATGCGCAGAAATAATCTATATCTTTCTTCGCGCGGCCCTCGACCGCTTTGAGTATTATTGCATCGCATTGTTTAAAAGAAGGAAAAGAAAGAAAGAAGAGATATCCTACATTTACATTCTCGTTACCATGGTAACCTCGGGATTCGGATTCGTATCCTTATAACAGGCTTGGACAGCCACCATGTTTTACTCCTAGGATTAGCTTTACGTACGTACATACTAGGCAAAGTATAGGTTGAGAAGAAAATAATATTAATCATTTAAGAACGTCTTGAACACGTAAGGAAAGATCTCGGCGATCCCGTGGTTCTCGAATGTTAAAGATCCAAGGATTTTGATGTCTCGAGACTCGAGGATCCGAGGACTCCAATGAGTATTTTTTTATGTGATGTGATCGACGAAGCGGTTATCTCGACACATCGTCAGGAAATAAAATGATATTGCAATTTTAGAATAAATCACATTTTAAAGTACGGAAGCAATTTTTTTTTTTTTTTTATACTGCAAAAGATTTCTCTCGCGTCCGAATAATATCAGGTGGTCATTAATTTTGTATTTAAATTTGTTAACGAATTTTAATTTAAAGAAAATTATGTAGAATTTTAAGAATATCAAGAATAGATCATTGTTATTTCTGAAAAGAAAACTTCTTTGCGAAGTAGAGAAAAACACCAGATTGTTTTACGTGATAAAGGAATTTTCTTTCGCGTTGAAAGAATTCAGATATTGTTATCTTTCTTTAAAGTAAATATTAAAATATTTTAATGGATTTTCAAAGTGGGAGGATTACTACATATGATTTTTCCTAATTCGATAACTCGTTTTTCTCTGCGTTTACGACACACGATTCGTTCATGGCGACCTTTGCGTTGCTCTCGCGCAATCTTCCATCTATGGAGATCATTGTTGTAAAGACGGGCCACACCTTTTTATCCTACCTTCAGAAGGTTAACAAGCTTATGCGCAACTCTTAAGGAATCGTCTAGACTAACAGCAAAAATTACCGTGTCCTCAAATTTCAGCAGCGAAAAAAAATTTCAGATTTAAAATCATAATTCCAATATTTTTTAATTGAAAATAAAAAGAAAATATATATTATATAATTATTGCTGCAAATATTCCATTTTTAATTAAACAGATATTGGAATTATAATTTCAAGTCTGAAAATTTTTTTATGAAATTTTCTAATTTTCTCTGGTCTGAGAAATTTCATGTCCATGAATTTTTTTTACTCGCAAGTATTTTCTCAAGTTTTTGGATTTGCAATCTAAAAAATATTTTTCGTCAAAAAAAAAAAGAGTTAAAGAAGATTAAAAACACACAAAGAAAAATGTTATGTATATATATAAACTTTTTTATTGCAAATGAAAAAACGCAAAAAGTATTCGCTGGTAAAAAGATTCGTTGATATGAAGCTTTTCAGACCCGAGGAAACTCGAAGATCTCATTAACCCTTAAAGCCGACGCGCTGATTGAAAGTCATCGCATCCTCGCCGCGATCCAAAGATCCAGATGCCGCTTTCCTTTCGCAATCGCGAGATCGGGGGGATCGATCGCGCGGTCAATTCGCCGCAAGGCTGATTAGAAGCCGGGCGGGTCGCAATCCGATTCGACGAGATTGGTGAAAGCCGCGACGGCGGTGACTTTAAACACCCCTTATAAGGTCGCTCTCATCATCGCGATCTTTAAGTACCCTAGACTGATGTGATGAGGCACCGCTGCTTTAATAACGCCCTTATATCGAGGTGCCCTACAAACCACGCGAGTCGGCCCCCTTTTAACCCCCTCGCTTAGAGATCAAATTTACTTTGTCCAATAATTAAAAATAATGTATAGAACGAATCGTAGAATTACTCTCGCTCCAGAAAAGAAAGAAAAGTTTCTAAATTTTATTGTTAGAAGATTGTAGAGGAAAAATTTATCTCTCTATTGTTTAATTTATCTTGTGCAGCAATTGGAAAATAATATAGAGCGAATTGTAGAATTATTAGCAATAAAGATAAAACTGTATAATTTAGTATTTATAATTTCTGGACGGAGAAAAATATTTACAATCTTCTTAATTTCTTTTATGGATTTTTCCTGTGCTTTCAATTAGCATAATGAAGCACGAAGGGGGGAAAAAGATATGATCGACACCATAAAATTATAGACGTTTCAGGTATAATTACGATGATCTGCTGTTGCTGTCTGTTTTAATTAGAGTAACGTGCAAGCAGAGAGATAGATATGTTAATCTTTTGCAGTTTCTCCGTCCATTTTTTTTTCTTTTTTGATAAATTACAGGATAATAAAAATAAGATCTCAATTCCTGTTCTTTTCTCGGCACCGCGTATTATGGCGGTTAAAAAAAAAATGAAAAATATTGTCCGGTATTATTTTTCTTAATTAACTAATTTTTCTCAATCTGGTCATGAAAATGCCTGACGATGTGTTTTCGAACTTAAATTGCCGCTCGTGTCGTTGATCGAGTATCGGCCTTAGTACGGCCATAAAATAGTCTCCATTGTGTTGCATACGTGACTAATTACGCAAATTGGGCGGGGATCGGAGGACGAGGGAGACGACCGACTGCGAAATCATTCGGAACTTTCTAAATTTTTCGAATTTTCCAGCAAACACATTCAGATTTTCACTTCATCAATCTTCAAACGCTCTCAACTCTTATCTGGACAGGTTTCATAAAAAAAGCATAAATTTAGATAAAATCGAAGCCTCGCTAATTCCATGCTATTTCTAATTATGTAAAAATGGATATATAATATTTTTATATAATTGAGAAGAGAGAGGGAGAGAGAGAGAAAAGTGTTAGTTTGGGAAAGTTTTAAAATCAGGTTATCCGCTGATAAGAGTTGAACGCATATTTTGTTTAAGTGCGCCTTTCGAAAGCCGCTTTACATTTGCGTGAAGGCCGCGCAATTAATTATACCGATAACGAATCGCCGACGGATAAATTCATCCCTCGAGGTAAATTTATCGCCACCTGCGTCACGACGCGACGCGACGTCATGCATGCGCATGCATCGTGTATGCGTGTGATGGGCATGCACGTAACGCAATATCGACGCAACGTGTAATTACCAGGCTGGCGAGCATCGCGATAGCCCGAGGGGGCCCGTTCGGAAACTCTGACCTCCGCGTTGTTGCTACGGGGTCGCGGGCCCCGGAAAATGTAGCACGCGTATATAAGGTGTGCGAAACTTTGCGCGTCTCTCTCTTCGTCCCGATTATCGCATTCGCATACGGAGCGAGTTGCATTGCGTGATTTTATTGCAGCTTTTGTGAGATCGTGTCGAAAGAATCGCGTGGACAAAATTACGCTTATTAATTAAACGTGATCGCTAATTGCTTATTGCTTTTTATCGAAGTTTGACGAGCTTCAACATCGGTAATCACGGCAGTGTAAATATCATGATGTATAATAAATTATTAACACACACGAGGGCAGTTTTATTATCTGCCTTAATATTTAATGGATACTATAATAATTTAATTATCAGTTTTATTAACAATGTAAACATAATAACAAGCAACAATGTGACATTGTTATATTATTCTAACATTAGTATTTCTTTAATTAATACAAAAAAGAATCTTTCATGAAGGATCTTAATCTGTAAGCAAAGTCAGACAAGAAAAGGAAAAATGAATACGATTCTTACAACCTGATTTTTAATCTTGCGGTAACTTTCGATAAAGCATTCGAAATGATTGGAAATAATCTTCCCGGTTGATCCCTTTTTTAGCTGCACTTTTGCGAGAGAAGAGAGAGAGGGAGAGAGTTTAAAAAAAAAAAGAATACCAATGTGTGAAAAAACAGCATTCACGCATCCCGTTACGTTTGCTTCGTTCTAAATTGCTCGTTGCGTACGTACCTAAATCACAGCTCATGCTACTAATTACTTATTAAAGGGTATTCCTCTCGATACTCTGCACTTATCTCGCTCTAAGTTACTATCTATAAATCTAATACCTACTTTCTATACGGAACGTTCCAAGACCGCCGGATATTCTTTTTGCTCTGCAGATTCTCCGATCGATTTGAAATCAATCTCTTTTAAGTGAATATGTCGAACTAATTTCAGTAGAAATTTCAAATTATTTTTATTTCGATTCAATTTTAATTTGTAAATTGACTATATATA